GGAGAGAGCGAGTGTGGCAGGGCGAGTGTGCATGTGAGAGGGCAAGGGAGAGGGTGAGTGTGCCTGTGGGGGGTCGAGGGAGAAGGCGAGTGTGCGTGTGGGAGGGTGAGGGAAAGAGCGAGTGTGCGTGTGGGAGGGCGAGGGAGAGAGCGAGTGTGCGTGTGGGAGGACGAGGGAGAGAGCGAGTGTGAGTGTGGGAGGGTGAGGGACAGGGTGCGTGTACATGTGGGAGGGCGAGAGAGAGGGCGCGTGTGCGTGTGGGAGGGAGAGGGAGAGGGCGAGTATGCGTGTGGGAGGGCGACGGCGAGGGAGAGAACAAGTGTGCGTGTGGGAGGGAGAGGGAGAGGGCGAGTGTGCATGTGGGAGGGCGAGGGAGAGGGCAAGTGTGTACGTATTCATGCATGTGTGTGAGAGTGTATCGTGTGGTTTGGTTTCTTGCGGTGTGACATGAACTCAAGATCCCGATTGGGGCCATTCTCATTGGTACTGAACTTGGCTATCAGCCTCTGCTCGGCAACTCTGTGTTGTTATGTATCCCGAAATCCGCCTTGGTAGACGTTTACCTGAAGATCCGAGGCCAAATATTCTTGACCGCTAAAGTGTTCCCCCACTGGGAGGGAACATTCCTGTCCGGTGATTTTTGCGCAGTGTCCTTTCACCCGTTGTCATAGTGTCTGCATGGTTTCACCAATGTACCATGCCTTGGGACATCCTTGCCTACAGCATATGAGATAGACAAAGTTGGCCGAGTCACATGAGTAACTGCTGTACATGTGGTGGATAGAATTCCCACGTGTGATGGTAGTGTACATGTCGAAGATCTGACATGTCTTGCAGAGATTACCGTGACAGGGTTGTCTCGTGTTGTGGTCACTGTTGTTCTGAAGGCTGGGTAGTTTGCTGCGAACAATGGTCTGTTTAAGCTTTTGTAGTTATTTGAAGGTGAAAAGTGGGGGCGTGGGGAAGATCTTGGCAAGGTGCTTATCGTCATCTATTAGGCTATGAAGAATATGGCATAGTTTCTCTGCTCCCGGGAAGTACTGGACGACAAAGGGTACCCTATCGGACGTGTCCTTTGTCTGTCTTCTGAGGAGGTCATTATGGTTTTTTGCTGTGACATGTCGGAACTGGCGATCGATGAGTTGAGCATCATATCCTGTTCCTGTGAGGGCATCCTTCAACACCTTCAGGTGTCTATCTCGTTCCTCCTCATCAGAACAGATTCTGTGGATGCATAGGGTTTGTCCGTAGGGGATGGATTTTTTAACATGTTTCGGGTGGAAGCTAGAGAAGTGCAGCATCGTGAGGTTATCCGTAGGCTTGTGGTAGAGTGATCTACTGAGGTGTCCGTCTCTGATGGAGATGCGTCTGTCCAAGAATGAGACTGATACTAAAGAGTAGTCCATGCTAAGTTTGATGGTGGGATGAAACTTGTTGATATCGCTATGTAGTTGTTTCAGTGATTCCTTGTCATGATTCACGACACTCTACACCAGCAGCCCCCACGAAGATGGCATCACTGCAACAGCCTCCGTACTCAATGCCACCAACTGCCAATTTCCAGACGCCATCCTACAACTCATCCGTTTCATCCTCAACCACAATGTCTTTACCTTTGACAATCAGTTCTTCATTCAGACACGTGGAACAACCATGGCGACCAGATTTGTTCCCCAATATGCCAACATTTTCATGCACAGGTCTGAACAAGATTTTGTTGCAGAACAGAACCTCCGACCAATACTGTACATCAGATACGTTGACAACATTTTCTTCCTTTGGATTCATCCACATCCAGAAAATCATTAGCTGCTATTCTGCCACCTTCAGCGACTTGCCACCACTAGACACATATTCCCCTCCTCTCCCTTGTTCACCTTCTGCAAGGGACCGTTCCCTCTGGGACAACCTGGTCCACTCATTCCTCGCTCCCAACACCACCTCCTGCCAGCCCCATGGCACCTTCCCTTGCAACCACCGAAGGTGTGACACCTGTCCATTTATATCCTCTCTCCTCAGCATCCAAGGGCCCAAACATACCTACAGGTGAAGCAGCACTTTGCCTGCACTTCACACTACTGTCACACTCTAGTCTACTGCATTTGCTGCTCACAATGTGGTCTCCTCTACATTGAGGAAATGAAGCATAGATTGGGTGACCGCTTCATAGAACATTTATGTTCTGCCTGCAAAAGAGATGCTGAGTTTCCAGTTGCCTGCCTCTTTAACACACCACCCTGTTCCCTGGCCAACATCTGTGTCTCAGGCTTGCTGCAGCGTTCCAGCAAAGCTGAGTGCAAGCTGGAAGAACAGCACCACATTTTCCTCTTGGGGATCTTGCAGCCCTCTGGACTTGATATCAAGTTCAATAATTTTAGGGTCTGAACTCTCCCATGCCCTGGCCCCCGATCCCACACACCAGGCCTTGTTATCACATAGTCTGCCATTACACACTACCTATTGTTAGCCACTAACGGTCTCAATTAACAGCTATTCATCTTCCTAGCCAGATTGTTATCCAGTCCTTTGTCTGTCCAGCTGCTGTTCTCTCTCTTTGGGCTCTGTCCCCACCTATCATTTACCTCCTTATCTGTCTCCTACCCGAATTGCTGCATATAAACTGACATTTTCCTAGCTACCATCAGTTCTGAGGAAGGGTCACCGACCCGAAACATTAACTCTGATTTCTCTTCGTAGATGCTGCCAGATCTGCTGAGCTTTACCAGCAACGTCTGTTTTTTTTCGTCAACAACACTTATTCATCTCTTCTGTCCTGGCTTGCCATCCATAATCCCCTCGTTTACTTATCCTTTTCATATCTCTCTGTCTCTGTTTGGGCTCTATCTCCAGCTATCTGCTTACCTCTCCCTTCACCCCATCCCCCAATCTGGCCTTCAGCATAAATACCAGATTTTCCTGGGTGCTATTAGTTCTGATGAAGAGTTAACAGACTCAAAATGTTCAGTTTGCTTTCTTTCCCCAGGTCCTGCCAGACCTGCTGAGTTTTGCCAGCAATTCCTAGACATTTTTTAAAAGACTAGTTGAACAACGCAAACTTGATTTAATTCTTTGATATTAACAGGGAAGGTACATGAAGTTGTGCAGTAGATATGTATGCTGATTTCTGGAAACCATGTGTCAAAGGGCTAGATAGGATGTTTGTTAAAATGGAAACCCTCGGAATTAAAGGAAAAGTGATGTCATTGATAAAGAATTGGCCCTGTACAGAGATGGAAGATGGTGGTGTTTTCAGACTGGAGGTGATTTACAGTGGTCCCTGAAGATCAGTTTCGAGACCTTTTCATTTCAAACTCTTCAATTTTTGTAAACTGCATAATCTCAGGTTCGTTGAAAAGCATTCTAAAGTTTTCAAATGAGTTGTTAGGATGAGCTTCACTTAAACTGGACTGGGATCAGTATCCTGGAAAATTTTAGAACTAAGGCTGTGGAGAGGGCTTTATGTTAAAACAAATGGGTGGGGGCAGATGTCAGGTGAGGAAAGATTTATGGATCTAAAGAAGCGATTTGAGTAATTGTCAGTCGAGTGGGACAGGAAAGGTCAGCCTCTTTTAATGGTAGTACTACATCAGACGTATGGTTCATACAAAGAATGATAGTAAAAATATAAATTTAATGGCTCTTTGTCGGAAACTGGAAAGCAATTACAATAAGATGGATGAACGAATGACTCAAATAAAGATGTGGTTTTGACCTAATCATCATTGCAGCGATGTGTTTACAAAGTGTTCAATGTTAGGAAATAAATATTCCAGGAATACAGCATTTTGGAAAGGTACATATTAGAAAAGGGGGTGTAGCCCTCTCTAAAGGATGATATAAGAACAGCGTAGAGAAAAATTCTTGGTTCAGAACATCAGAAGCTGGAATTAACATGGGTTGAGACTAGTGATGCAAAAGCTCAGAAAACACTGGTGAGAGTATTTTATAGGCCTATCAAGATGTGGACTTGCCCCTGAAAAATTCAATGAGAAAGTTCCATCTATAACTCACTGGGTAAGTTATGGATACTGTTGGAATGAAAAAGAACCTTATTATGTTGCAAACAGTAGCTGTAAAGCTAAATTGAGAATGTTATAAAACCAGCAATAGACAATTAAAAGTTGACACAAGGAAAATAATTTAACATAAGAGTAAACTAACTGGGAGTTCAAAAACAACTATGTGAAAAGGATGTGAATGGCTTCATTAAATAGTAGTTCCCTTTGAGGTGGAGTCTCCAACAATATTACAGGAAATAAGGAAATGACAGGGTATTTAAATAAATGTTTTGTGGTTGTCTTTACAGAGGAAGACATAAATTATATACTTGGAATAGTGGAGAGAGTGACCAAGTGGCTAATAAGAATGAGGAACTTAGGGTAATTAACATAAGCAGAGAAAATGTATTGAAGAATTCTTAGAACATTATTGCCTACCTCCCTGGATTCTAATTACAGAGATGGTGGATACACCAGTGAAGATTTTCCAAAATTTCCTAGATGATGGAATGGTCCCAGGTGAATCATAGCTGATAAATGTCATTCCATAGTTTGACAAATGAGGAAGAGAGAAAAGAGAGCATTACAAGGCTACAAAACTGCTCTTCTTTTTCTCAGACAGTGAAGGGCCAGTACTACACTCCTGGCAATGTGATTGCTCCTGTTTGTTTCCTACGTTCTAGTCATATGGCTGCATTTGAGGAATGTTTTATGATGACACGCTGTAACTGATTCCCTGATCAAAATTCTAACACCGCTTCTCTTTTACTTCCTTACCTTAAAGACGTTATATCATGAAATATTGAGCTGCCAATCCTGCCTGTTTGTCAACTGTGTAATAACAATTATATCGTACCCCCATGTTTTAGTTTGTGCCTTCAACTCATTTGCTTTGCTCGTCAGACTCACTGTATTAAAATAAATATTATCCAGCCATGCTAAACTCCACTGTGTTATAACTGGACTAGAATTTCTATGCCGTCTTGACTCCCTTGCTGTCTTTTCTAATTTTGCTGTTCATCTCCCCTGGCTGAACCTTCTCTTTGAATCCCAATCCCCTGTCAAGTTAATTTAAGCCCTCCTGAACAGCACTAGCAAACCTCCCCACAAGGATACAGGTCCCATTCCAGTTCCGATGCAATCTGTCTGCCTTGTACAGGTCCCACTGCCCTGAAGAAAACAGTCACAATATCCCAGAAATCTAAAATCCTCCTCCTGCACCATCTTTCCAGCCACACATACAGCAAATGGCACTGGAGGTAATCCAGAGATTACTACCTTTTGGTTCGTGTTACTTTAATCTACTTCATAGCTTCATAAACTGAGATTTTAGACTTGCCCAGCTTTGAATAACCAATGCAAATTTCTATCCAAACACTGCTGATGTGGAAGTTTTCAAAAATCAAAATCTTATAGTGAGGTAACTTATTCCTTTAACTGTTCTGAACAAACTCCTTTTTTTCTGGGAGAAACAATTTGTACATCTAACTTCAGTCAGTCTCTTTCAGACTGAATTCAAAAGCTTCTAACTAAATAAAAAGAACAACTTGCTCATCATACCTCTGCTAAGCTAAAGGTTTAATGTCTTTTTTTTTGCCTGCCATAAACCCCACAATATAAACAAACTTCCAGTTGCACTCCAATAGGAGTTTTGCCATCTCCTGCTCCTCTGGTGACTTGCTCGATTACTTGTCTTGTCTGCTACTTCTCTGATCGTAGGTTGTTTCTCTTTACTAGTAAACCTATCAACAGCAAACATGAAGGGAGTTAGCTTGTTATTGCAGGAACAGCTTATCAATGTTTCCTTCAGTTCTGTTTTCTCTGATTAGTTGCCCTGTGAGTGAATTTTCCAGGGTGATTTGGGAATTTTCAAGGGAGTTCCTCACTCTTATTAGTCATTCCCCCTGTGTTGAGAGTTGATTATCATATTTCATATGTGTTCTATTTCAGGTAAGCATTGACAGTTGTTGGATTGGCTCTCTTAGCTGTCCTCAGGGAGTGTACTCCGCTACTGTATATGATGCTATTGCTACTGAAAGTATGCTGTTTATTCGGCAGAATCAGCTAATGTATTACTTCAAAGGAAATTTTACCTTACTTCGCCATCAAGATCAAGGATCAGGTATTGCCAGTCCCTTCTTAAATTTAAAAACATTTGAGATGGAGGAATTGTAAATATGATGTCTCAGAACTGTCACACCCCATTGGGAAGGGAGTGCTGGAAATCAAGCCCCAGTATTCCACAAGTCGTCATAAATGTGTAACTATCAATTTTATCACTAAATGGTTAATTTGTCTATGACCACTATCAGAGATCAAAGAAATTCACACTGTGTCACCAATGAACAAGAGAACCAAAATGTATTTATTATAAACTAATTTATAATTTAATAAGTGGCAAAAATAAACTATTAGTTACTAATATTCAAATATAAACTATACATTCTTAAAGTCCAAACATGCATGCATTCATTCACAGGTCGGACAGCAAAGGCATACAGTTTTGCAGAAATATTGTGAGTGAAAAAAAAGCCGAAAGTTAGCAAATTCTGTGGATTAAGAATCCAAATCTTAAGGGATGGAATGAAATGACTTTCTCCCAATTCATTTCTTTTTGGTGATGATACTACATTGCTGTCGACAACAGCAATGTTCAATTCAGAAGCTGGTCTGTTGGACCTAGGTTTTTGCTTGAAGTTCTTCTTTGCCCAGTCTTTTAGTTCTGGTTTTCTTCTAATCTGAGCTATGTTATAATAAGTAAGTTCTTCTTTTCTTGTCCCTTAATGAAACCTGTGGCTTGTAGAAGGGAGAGGTTGAAGATGTCAGTGAATATCTCCGCCAGCTGGTCTGCACAGGATTTAAGTGCATAGCCGGGGACTCCATCTGGACCTGTCGCTTTCCTTGGGTTGACTCTCAGGAAGACTGATCTGATGTCTGCAACGTTGATGGAGGGAGCAAGTGCATCTGGGGCTGTCAAACCAAAAACAGAAAGCATTGAGTGCATCAGGGAGGAATATGTTTTTGTCCGCAATCTTGCTCTGCTTCATTTTGTGTCCTGTTATGTTGTGTAGGCGGCAGGTGTCCATATGGTTGGTTTGGACCTCTAACTTGGTCCAGTACTGCCTCTTGTCTTCTCTGATGGCTTTGTGGAGGTTCTTTCTGGATTTTCTGTATAAGTCCGGGTTGTTGGACTTAAATGCTGCATGGCTGGTCTTCGCTAGGCAGTGGGTTTCCTGGTTCATCTAAGGTTTCTGGTTGGGGAACACCCAGATTGACTTCTTTGGCATGCGCTTGCTAATGAAGTTCGTGACAGTGGTGGCGTACTTGTCTAGGTTATTTGCTGAGTTCTTCAATGTGGTCCAGTCCACAAGTTCCAAGCAGTCCCGAAGAAGCACTTCCGCTACCTCAGACCAGCATTGTACTACTTTCTGTGAAGGTTCCTCCAGTTTGTTTGGTTCAAAAATTTCAGTGAAGTTAAAAATGGGGCTTTACTCTTCATCTTTACGTCGTCCTGGAGTGAGACTGACTGTAATTTCACTGGAGGGAAATTGAGAATGATCATCCTTGAATATCAGACACTGTTCACCTGTTGTCTTCTGCAGGTCTAAACCCAAGTATGTATCTGTTGAATTAGGGTTGGAATTCAATAAAATATTCACCTCCATATTTAATAGGAGGGGGAAATAGTGGAAGGGTGCCCTGTGGTGAGTGACAACCCTAACTAGGATGAAAACAAGAAAGCTGTACCAATTTTAGGGCATGGTCTCATTTATCTTCACTAATACATGCCTAATATCTGTTCAGCTTACTGGCCTCTTGTTTAGGAGTAAAATGTTAGTGGCAGGAGGTTGAAACTGTATATCCATGGGGATGGTTCCTAACAGTGAATGAAAAAAGATTTTACATTAAATCAAGAATTGGAATTTTTGCAAGTTTTTGAAAGTGTTTGAAGACTTGGCTGGGAGTCTCAATAACTCTTGAAATGGTCTAGGAGAGGCACTTCTGTACCAACTGTACAGTGAGCAGACCTTTAATCCTTTGTGATCAGTCAATACTGACTGTCACATTTGTTGACAATCAGCCCAGCAGTCAGATATTTCTTTGATGTAATGCCAACTAAGCATCTACCTTCCCTTAATGGGAGCCTCATTGATGGCCTGACATGGAAGTAATTGCTGGAATTACAAAATAGAGTTTTAGATTCAATAATTTCCTGTGTGCCAAACCTGCTTGAAGAGTAATGGGCTGATGAGTTAAAAACATAGCCATTATTGTATCTCTGTTATTTCTTTAACAACTTTTCTTGACACCACATTCTTGGTTTAAACACATTAGCAAATATTAAGGATTCATTGTAATAAACGATGATGATTATTTCTGCCTTCCATTGTCTAACATTAAACATGTTTTACTGTTGTACAAACATCATCAAGAATCCAGGGCTACCTTTCCTTTCCTTGCACCCATCTAGACACTTTTGTGCAATCACTTGATTTGAGCCTTAACTGGATGAAGTCTCCCAGCTGATGCTTTAAATGGTAGTCTAAAAGAAATTGCATTACCTGCGTGGGTGTGACATTTGTAGCTGCAACAATTTGTTTGAAAATGTAGATGCATTATGGACTGAGATCTGATAATTTGTCAAGTTTGGGAGTTCTTGTACACCTTTAAAACAGCAAAGCTTTGTTGTGAATTGACTTTATTGAGAAAAATCAGAATAAGTTTATTAATTTCTGAGGTAAACTATGACAATACATTTGTGTGGTGATTTACAGTTTAAATGGATTACACTACCTGTGTCAATATCTGGATAGTAGAATGCACAATGGTTTATCTTGCAGCTTTATTCTTTTGGACTTCAAACTTCTTTTCTTCTTTGCCTTGTGTGGGTTCTGTCTTGTTTGTTCTGTCTCTGGCCAGTTTCCCTCTGCTACACTGAGACAAATCAGGATATGCTGGCTGGGGGAGAGACAGTAGGAACTGCAGATGCTGGAAAATCTGAGATAACAAGGTGTAGAGCTGGATGAACGCAGCAGGCCAAGCAGCATCATAGGTTTTCTAATTAAGACCTCACTCACCCCAAACATTTCCAACAGTTTGTAAGGATCTTTTCCCTGACTAACTTGGTTTTGTGTGAGCATCATGCATCACTCAAACCTAGGTTTGAGTCTTTCTTTGGCTAAGTCTGTGTTGTGTTTTGTTTTTGGGCCGTTTTTAGCTGTGAGGCCTATTGAGATTTATTACACTATCTCCTCAAACGTTCTTGTATGATTTCGGCTCCATCTTAATCGCCATTCAGTAGATATTTGCCAAAATATCAGCATCATATGTGCTCACGGCATCTTTAAAAGGCTGCTTTGCACCCAAACAAGCATTGGCAGTCTGGTGTTGCCCCTCATTGGTAATGTAATGACAGAGCAGTCATGAAGCCTGTTGTCCATTGTACATAAAACTGGTACGGCTGTCACTCTCTTGTATATGCAACTTCAGTCTCTCGCCTTGGTCACTCTTTTATTTCCATGCCACACACTTTACTGGTCCATGGCCACATCCAATATAAACAACCTCTTTTAAGTCAGTGCTACTCCTTCTGTACCCATCCTCACCTTCTGAGGTAGGCAGCCATAGCGACCCAAGATGCAACCAGTGGCAGGGCTTATGACTCTCAGTGGAAAGGACCTAAATTAGATATAGGAATGGAAGTTGGCAAGTGGAAATAGCCATTAGTGGCCTTTTGTACCATCATTGTTGATAACTTCAACATTATTGAAATGCCCAGATCTAATTTTCAAACACCAATGACATCTAGAAATTGTGTTTGACCAGCATCTGAGCCCTATATCCTCTCAATCCGAATGCATTTTTTTCTTTTATTCATTCATGGGATGAGGGCATTGCTGACTAGGCAGAACTGATTGCTCATCCCAGAGGACAGTTAAGAGTAAGTCACATTGCTGTGGGTCTGGTGTCACATGTAATCCAGAATTGCTAAGGCAGATTCTTTCTGTAAAGGACATTAGTGAACCAGATTTCCTGACAATCAACAATGGATTTGTGGTCATCATTCGACTCCTAATTCCAGATTTTTGTTGAATTCAGACTCCACCATCTGCCACGGCAGGATTCAAACCATGGTTCTCAAATCAATACCTGGGTCTCTGGATTAACAGCATAGCAAATGGGTGATGAAATGATTGCAAATCCAATGGAGCTGTGTTTTGCATTAACTGCTTCATGCTTTTGTTGCTACAGTTTTGTGGCATCAAGCAAACATGGATCCTTTGTACTTCTGGCCATCAAACTGTCCTTTACTCCACCCAACCACCTACTTTCTGGTAACATGTTTCATCTTGAGAAGAGAAAGTGATGGCTGGATATCATCAGCTTTGGGCCCTGCCAGGTTACCAGATACCATGCCAGCTCCCTGACTGATGTGCAGGGTCCCTGACTGCTTGTGCTGCTGCATAGGACTGACCATTGAACACCCCCAAGACTGTACAAAGACAGATCCCTTCACAACCAATCTGAAAGTCCTAGAGGCTATGTGTAGACTGTGACCATAACTGATGGACAGTGTCCCCCATCTTGACTGTATAGAGGACTATCCCCACCAGCTACCGACATGGACCTTTGGTCGTATGAACATGCAGCATGCTATCCATGCTGGGAGCTATGATATGCTGTAGGTGTTAGATTAGTGTCTTGGTGTGCCATACCCTGAGATCTTGTCTCCTGCCAGGACAGTTACATTTGGAAAAGCATCCCGTCTTTGTGTCTGCACTAAAGAGCCCCTCAAGATGGCAGTGGTGAAAGCCTTTGGCTCTGCTTGAAGTGTCAGCATGGCAAGGCAAAGCATAGTTGCTGTGAGCATGCAGGCAGGTGGAAAGTGAGTGAGTGCTAACACAGCAATTGATGCAGCCTGATTTACTCTATGAACTGGCTGCCTGTCTATGTTTGCAAAGTTTCCCTGCTGTAGCCTTCTCAGTTCACCCTAAAATCCAAGTCTCTGTTCCCTGAGCAGCCTGCCATTGTATCAGAGTGGCGCCATGATGGTTATGATGGGTTGGCACATGCCAATGACTATAAATGAAGTGCATCTACGCTGGTGCTTGTTGATTCTGC